ATCCGGGACAAGTTTCAATAAATTACAATTATTATAATGAACATTCGAAAGTACATTTAAAGGAAAACAAAATATATATAGAAATCTAAATATTGTTAAGTTATATTACATTAAAGAAACACCATATACATAATAAATAAAAATCATACAAAGATGGACAATATTCAAAGTGGAGTTAGATTACAGTTTTATAAACCGTTATATGTGTAGAGAATGATAATTGTAAACATCTAGTATTGTGGAAAAATAGTTCATTGCTTTTGCATCACGATAATACACCTGCTCATCCTTCATTGCTTGTTAGTAATTTTTTGAACAAAAACAAGACCGTAATCATTCCTCAGCCACCGTATTCACCAGATTTGACTTCCTGCGACTTTTTTTTGTTCCCAAGATTGAAGAGACCCATGAAAGGACGGCGTTTTGCGACGATTGGGGAGATGAAAACCTAATTGCTGAGAGATGAAGGACATACCAAAAAGTGCATGTCAGAACTGTTTGAGGATTGGAAAAATCGCTGACAGAAGTGTATTGCATTTGAGGGGAACTACTTTGAAGGGAACAAAAAAGAAATTATTGAAAAAATGAACATTTAGTATTGGTATTAATAAGTCAGGTAACATTTGTTAATTCAGGTAACATTTGTTATTTCAGGTACTTATTGGCAAACCACTCCACCAAAAGACTAACAGAGCAAGTAACATTTTTAGGAAAAAGAAAATAACTTTTGTCTTATTTCAAAACCCTCGACAACCAACTAGAACTAAGCAGCTCCCCTCGTTTGAATTTGTGAATTTTGACAACTAGTTTAGGATCCATTGGTAGCTGGAGAAATCCACAAGTAGGTTTTTGGATCAACAGTTGATGATTTTGATATGTTGCAAAAGTTAAATAGTTGTTGTTTTAGTATTGGTATTTATAATAATTCAGGTAACATTTGTTATTTCAGGTACCTATTGGCAAACCACTCTACCAAAAAACTAACAGCGCAAATCACTTACCGGGTCGAACATATCAGATTGGCTAAGTTCAGTCTTAAAATCAGCACTACCAGCTAATATAAGCCCAGCTATATTAGGCTTATCGTTGGTTATGAACAGCTGTGTGGCAACCTCAGCAACTTTCCTTACGTAATTGTGTCTCTTCTCCATTCTCAAACGGGCGAAACGCAGCGCCGACTGACCTCCTCTTCCGTGCTTCTTGGGCAAGTCCACGGTAAACTTGTGCAAAACCTTTAAGCAAAAAAAAATTAGTGGGAGATCTTGAAACGGTTGCGTTGCATTACCTCACGAGTATTTCCTTGAAGAGTACCGAAAAGGGCCCCGTTACCGTCCATGACGATGAACCCGAATTTGTTATCGTCCGCCAAGAGGGCTGTGAGGGCTTCGGTGTGGAACTTATTGTCACACAAATATAAAGAGGTGTTGATCGGTTTGAAAGGTTCGAAATCTATATTGACCTTCTTCTCTTTTCCTTCGTCTGTTACAATTGTTCCGCAGTATATGACCAGGCCATTGGGCGGTACTATAAAGAAAAATTGCAATATTTGGATCGTGATTTGCTACAACAGCCCAACCCATTCTGAGCTTATAAATTATTCTACGTTGAACAACTGTCTAATATAAATGAACAACAAAGATTTTAATCAATTAAAAATATACTCAAATTATTATTATTAATATGTTATCATTTACTATCATTAAGTATCGACCAGTTCCATCACATACATCATGCTTACACCTTCAATTAATAGATGACTGAAAATATTTCTAATGAAAACGTACTTCAGAAGTTATTTCTCCGAAACAATATGTTGATGGGTGAAACTAATGTTATGGAACAAAGTATAATTTATGATAGTGGTTTCCTACAATTCAACAATATTCTTACCTTTTGTGTATAACTTCAATCGATGTTGGACAGATGTGATTGCACCAAGTACTGACAGCCTATTTACTCTGGACTTAATATTAGAAGCAGTTCCAAATTCATCAGCCAACATTTTGCTTACTCTGGAGATTTGATCCTTTGGGGGAATGATGAGAGATATCATACTGGTTCCATTTCTACAAGGAAATATATAATCAGCATTGGAGAAATTCACTTTCAAGGAAACTGTCCTACATACCCTCTTGCCAGCTCCAAGCTTTTGATGAGTTTCTTAATTTTCCAAATTTCTACATTCCTATCCGCAGAAGTTTCCTCGCCCGACATTTTAGATAAATTTATCTATTTAACTTCGCTAAATGACCAAAATAAGGAAACGTGTACGTAAGGCAAAATGGCGCGGTCCCGCAGCCGATCAACAAGAGATCGAGGAAAGTCACTTTTCACTGGTTATTCAGGTAACTCAACAGAACTGGTTAGAACTGGATATTTACAGAAAGAACCGTAATATGAAGGTCGGAATCACGTTTTTAAATTAAACACCTTCCATGTCCGATATTAAAGAACGAAGGAAATGGTTCCAAAATTGAGTATTTGAAAAGGGAGAGGAATTTTATTCGATTTTTATATTAATATTTTGAGTATTGTTACCTTTTTTGTTTTGAAGTTGGAGACAGTGTTTTATATTTTTTTCAATATATGCGTTCCATTGTCCCTACTAGGGATAGGTAAATGTTTTATTCGGAGCTTTTTGCCACTTATTTTCTTGAAACAGACAAATTTACTTCTAAAAAATGTCACGAGAGGGCACTTTCGAATCGAATCCAATCCCATTATCAACGTAGAAATACGAAGAGTGTGGCCTGTGAATCACCCATAAAATCGATAATGATACAAAGTAAACAAAAAAGATTTAATTTCAATCTACAGTCATATTTTTTCATGTTTCATTTTCTTTCAGTACGTCTTTCAGTATGTGAAGTACTTTTTGGTACAGGAATGAATACCTGAAAACAAATAAAAGATTAGATTTGAAAATGAAACAGTAAAACCGTCCTCAGATAATTTCAAATCAACTCCTGCATTAACAAAATGTAAATCCATATAAAAACTCAATGTACATTAAATTATTCCTTCCAAACTCTTACTTTGTTAGAGGTTTACAAATTCCGAGATGATCCTGGGGAACTTCGTAATATTCACCAACACCAGGATTGCCAGAATTTGGTTCCACTAATAAAAAATTCAACTTCATAGCTGTCACCACAGTAGATTTTGTTTCAACGAATGTGACTATTTTCATTGGCACCGCTTGAACGATTTTGAGAAATTTTTCGTGAATTTTTCTGAGCTGCGGAGAATCTGAAACAAAAGTAATATATTTATTACAACACATAACACAACGAAGAAGAATGTGCTCTGTAAATTCTCAACGAACTAGTAGTGAAAAACGAATTGCCCAAAATAATACACAGGGGTTTTCCATTAAAACTATCGGATCCAATCAACTAGGTTCAATAAATTCAGCATCTCCTCCCCTTTCATTTGATGTGTCGCATCTCACGATCCGTTCATTATTAACGAAGATACGACTTAGTGTCCTTTTGGCATACCCTCATGTTTGTTTTTCCCTACTCTACACTGACGTCACCGCCTTCTCTCTCTCCCTGCTGTGTTGACATTTGAAAAGGGATGCAATACCCAGTCCGGTATTTCCAATTTTAAAATGTCCAGCAATCGTTCTGCGAAATCACTGTGTAGGTTCTCCAAATGTTGGCAGTAAACAAGCAAGTCGTCGTTGTTGAAGGCTACTGCTAACAAATTAGGGAAATTGCGAAACTCACGTCTGCCGATATTATTCTTGTATAAGAGTGATTTGGCTACAAAAGCAGCAATGCCATTTTTTGTTTTAATCAAATTCAAGTCGTCACCTCGAAGTTGGAGATTGACATCATTAAATAATCGATACAGGTCTGTCAAGTACGCAATATAATTATTTGAAGTGATGAGGGCGGGCCTAGTACTTTCGAGAATGGAGACTAGAAACTTCTCGCTTCGCATTGAAGTTTAACGCCATCTATTGTACAGTTTGACAACTATCGGACAGAAAATAGTTACTGTCTAGTCCCCTAGATGGCTTCACACGAGGAAACGCGCGTTAAGTGTAAAAGAGCGGTAACGTTTGTGTTGAAAGCAAAAAAACATTTTTGAGAAAAGATTGCTGTAACGTAAGACTGGTTGAAGATATTCAGAGACAACTGATATGGGAAACAAAGTATTAATTTCTTCTCTTTTCTGTTAGTTGAGAGGATACCTTTTTGTTTGTTTCACACGAAAAACTCGGCTCATTGCAAATACAGATTACTCACTTTCTCGAAGTTCACGAACTTCTACCGATGGCCAGAGCAGTAGGGCAGTAGCCTGACTCAAATTCGCCAATCTTGATCCATTGTGGGGGGTGCTGTAGAATACTATACCCCTGGTATTCAAACAAACATTTTTTACGGCAAGATTATCACAATCGAACGCTAAAACACAACAGAGGAAGTTCAAGAGTAGGCAAATTTCAGTTTTCCAGGATTCCCACCTTTGGATAAGATATTTTTAACGATTAAACCCCCCATAGAATGCGTCACCCAAACGATAGGCCGCTGCCCTAGTCCGGCATCCAGCAACTTCTTCAGAAGGTCATCGCTACGTTCCTCCAGAGTGAACTTCACTTTTTCTGTGGGGCAAATCGATGCCCACATTGATAAGCTTGTCTCATAGTTGATACCTAGAAATGAATTTACTGTAAGCATGCCAGAGCAAATTCATAGTGATGAAACAATGATAAATTCCGGAGAGAACGGAGAAGGATCCCTCGAAACAACATAAAATGGTGCCTATCATTTTCTTGGGTTGAATTTGTACTAATGGGTGATTTTTTGAGAGATATAGGATTTGATTTTCAAAACAACACAAAACATTTGAAAAAATTGATAAAATCTTTGTTGGAATCGATAGAACGATCAATATAATTTATTGTTTGAAGATGATTTCATGTAAAATGTTGTCCGTCGCTCCGCTTTAGATGACCCATGCGCAAGGTCTAATTTTGGCACACTCTCTCTAACACATCGACCGGTATTTCACGTATAAATGCTTCAATATTGGCTTTCAGAGCGTCAGTCGTTGGTGGTTTTCCCTGTAGACATGAGCCTTATCATGACCCCACAAAAATACTCCAATCCACACGATCTAGACGGCCAATTGACGGGCCCCAAACGTGAGATAAACTGTTCACCGATGGCGGCTCTTAATTGGGCCATTGTTTCGCGAGCCGTGTGGCATGTGACACCGTCTTGTTGAAACCACATGTCAGGCGTGTCCAATTCTTCCATTTTGGGCATCGGTAGCTCTTGTAATGCTTGCAATTTTTCGATAAAAATGTGGATCTTCCTCAATTTCGCCAGCGACCATTCACCAAATGTTAGACGTTGTGGGAGGTCGTGTGGCTTCAATTCTTGCACCAGCTGTATCTTATAAGGTTTTACACCCAAAGTCTTTCGCAAAATTTTCCACGTAGTGGAGTAACAGAGGCCCAATTGCTGCGATCGGCGACGAATCGACATTTCACGGTCATCACGAACACTGGCGGATACAGCCGCAATATTTTCTTCGGTCCTCACTCTACGTATGCGTGTTGGTAGTTCAATGTCCAATAATGTAAACTGGGTTCGAGATTCAGTCACAAGCTTCCGAATAGCTCCCTCAGTAGGCCGACGAAACTGCCCATAAATTGGAAGAAGTGCACGATGCACTTTCTTCGTCGAGCATGAATTTCGATGACAACATTCAATAATTTGCAAGTGTTGTTCATTGGTAAGTCGATTCATGGTTAAATTATAGACCAAACTGAACAAGTTTGACAATGACACAAGACACGATTCACGCGTGATCTGTCAAAAATAGTGTTGCCAAAAAGATACCAGAAACACTGTTGCTAGTGATAGTATTATTTGATCACAAGTTAGGAGTTTTTCTGTTTAATTCTTATACAGATTATGGAACAAGATCGAACCACTACGTGATCTCCAATTTCTAGTGAACGTTTACCTATAAGATAATTTTTTCGAAGCAAAAGTGCATCTCTACCATTTTAGCATGTTTTCCTTTCTCACCTATCACTCTTATATTACGGCAGTCTTCTGGTAACCAGTCTTTCGGCCAGCAGTACGTGTAGCAGCCAGTTTTGTCTTGTTTAGTTTCGTAAGTGAATCCGGGACAAGTGTAAGGTCCCTCCGCTCCGAAATTTGTGTTGATCGGAATATCGTCCCAGACGATTTCGTAGTCCTTGCACAACTCTTCAGACTCGGGGTTCTCCTTCATGTTCCTGAAGAATTTCAGCGGGAATTTCTGGCCGCTATCTTTCGGAAGCTGGGAATTCAACTGTAAACTATCTGGAAAAAATCGCTGCAGATTTGGAAATGGGGCGCTGCGGGTGTAATTTCGGTAGGTTTACGAGGGTGATCTGAAAAGTTTCCGACCTCAACATGAAGATGGCGGCACTCGTAAATAAACGCTAGCGAATTCCGTTGTTTATCTGTTGACAGTTACTCGTTGAAGTTTCAGCCCTTTTGGACGCGCAGTTGTTATGTAACAGTCGTTTGACTGAGTTGATAGTATTTTTATGAAAATGGACAAAATAGAGTATCGAGCTGTCATTAAAAATTTGTTTTTGAAGGGCAATACGCCTACGCAAATCAAAGATGAGTTAGATTCTGAGTAGATGACCAACACCGATTCTGTGACACCAGCCAATGAGAGCGTAGCAATTTGTCACATGACCAGTTTGTTCGGTTGGTTACGCTTTAGGTTACGTTAGGTTACGTTCTAAAGTAACCTTTAGGTTAGGTTAGGTTACTTCAGAACGTAACCTAACTTTAGGTTACGTTACGTTCTAAAGTAACCGTTAGGTTAGGTTACTTTAGAACGTAATCGTTAGTTTAGATTACTTTAGAACGTAACCTAACTTAACCTAATGGTTACTTTAGAACGTAACCTATCCTAAAGCGTAACAACCGAACAAACTGGTCATGTGACAAATTGCTACTTAAACAATAAACTCATTGTTTTAAGTTTGAAAATGTCCATATAGGATGAAACTGCAGTAACGTTAGTTACAAATAAAAGTGGCAAATTCGTGAACAATTATTTTGCAGAGAAAAACGCCTATTAGGACGGGTTACAAAGATGAGAGCATCGCTGGGAAAAGTGTGTAGAGTTGAAAAATAAAAAAAAAATGTCTTGTATCTCTGTTAGGCCGGAAACTCTTCTGATCAGTAAAAGGATCACAAGGAAAAACTTGGCCGGGCGAATTTGGGAGTGGGTTTTCCTTGAGAAGATCCTCACCTTTTTTCTCTTTCTTACCGATGATACTGAGAATGTTCTGACTTTTGTTTCTTTGCCTCCACGTGTAGAATACGCCTCCCAGTAATCCATGTATGAAGACGACATCTATATTCTGGTCAGTGAGGGTTCTCCTCATGGGATGTAATAAATATAGTCGCCTGGAGTACAAGTGCTCGTTATCTGAATCTAAATTCGCTAGAGCTCTTGCTGCCGGTATGGAAACTCTTACATCGGCATGTTTCATCCACTCCGATAAAATGCCGATCCAACCTTCAAGCAAACACACAAATCAAGCTTATCTAATAATAATAATATACTTTATTGTCATTGGACAAAGCTTGTGAAAAATAAATAGAAATGTAAGTATAGAAATATAAAATGTGACTATAAAAACACCTACAAAAAAGTAAAGTTAGAACATACACTATAGTTCATCGTCGATATTTTGTATCAACATGGTTGTGTACAGATTTGTTAAAATATTACCAACACTTATATAATACACATATATGCTTATATATAATTTTACATATTGATGCCACATAGTGGCATCAATAGGTAAAAACGAATAAAAAATTTGGTGAATCTAACACACTTTGTTTCATGTAAATTTAAAGATAGGAAGCGCTTGACGAAAGACCTTATACTAACCTGATTTATGCATCGGTTCCAGGACACTCCTGTCAAAGGACATAAACGACAGGATCTGACAGAGTTTTATAGTGATATCCACATTGTTTTTATACCGGTGGTGAATTTCCATCAACAACGGTAAGCCATTGAAGTTCACGATGTCTTTGGCGTATTTTTCTAAACTTGCGTGGTGCAAAAGAGACTCTAAACATTTCGGCAGGACGTCGCTTTCTGATTGGATGAATTTGCTCAACTCGAGAGCAGAGGAGTCATTGTCCACTATGTGGGAATTGTCCTAGAAATCAGTTACACGGTTTAAGCGTTGCAAAATGTTACTAATACCGCGACGGATATTGAAGGATATTTTCCTTAGATTTGTCTATTATGGCATATCTGTATGTACTTTATAGAAAGAGTGAAGTTGTACTGACTTGAAATAACTTGGGAAAGCTGAAATACTTAGTATTTTATAACAAATTTCATTGATCTGGGCTAAAAATCCTAAAACTGTAACGTTATATGAAGATGAAATTGTTGAACATCTAATAGCATTTCTTTTCAATAAAGTCTTGAGAGTTCAAAGGGGTATATCTTTAAGAGAGATTTATTCCCACATTTTTTATATCACGATGAAAAAGTAGAAAGCCAAAACCTTTTTTTTCTGAAGAGTTTTCTTGTTTTTTATTTAAATATCACATGGAATTCCTTGAAACTTACTTATATTTACCTGATATTCTGTGTTCCAAGACTGAGCAGCAACAAACATAAAAATAATTTATAACACCACAGTAGCTGTTTATATAAGTAATTAAAGATTATGGAGCCTGGTTTTTTGACAGATTTTTCAATGATTATTTGGTGAAAATCCATGTAGATGTTGTTGAGAAACACTAGTATGACAAACGCTATTTTTATTGCATATCCTCTACAACTTTGAGAAATGAGGGTACAAAAACAAAGTCTCCTGATAGGCTACCTATTGCCATAATTCAGACCTACGCTTATTTTGTCTGAGGTAAATATTTGTTATAATTTGGCATTCAGCATTTTTTTTTGTTTGAAGGTGATTGACAGTGTTTCACGATGAATTTCATTAGTTTGGACTTACATTGCCTGATATTATGTAAAATGATTTGAAATCTCTGAAAGAACTAAAACACTCCTGGCTGGATAGCCCTGGCAGCTGAAGCCATTGAAGAAAAAAGAAGAACTAAAAAAAAAGGAGAATTAAAAATTAGAGAAGAAGAATAAATAGCTGAAAAAAATACATTGTTTTTTCAGATATTTATTTTTATTCTTCTTTAATTTTATATTCTATTTTTTTTTAGTTCTTTCAGGGATTTCAAATCATTTCATATAATATCAGACAATGGAAGTCCGAACTAATGAAATATTCGAATGCCCCCCTTCAATATACTCCCCTTCCCTCGCCACACACCTTTCCATACGAGCACTGGAGTGCGTTTATTGGCCTAATACCGCTTCACAGGTAGCGCGTTATGGGCAGGTGAGTTGCCCTGGTGCAAAATCCACGAGTTGTTCTTCCACAACTCGTGCCGTTTCTTACGTGAAGGCCAAAACTGACAAATGGTAAGTCTGGTTGACAGTCTGACCCTCTGGAACCTATTTGGTCATCACGAAAGCGTTAATGTCGAAAAAAACGATCAACATTGGCTTGAATTTTGATTTGGACATCCTTGCTCTCTCGGCCCTCACTGAAGCGCTTACACCACTCTAAAACACGCGCACGAGATAGAGAATTGTCCCCATAGGCCTCTTGCAACAATTTACAGCACTCAGTCAATTGAACGAGACATTTGATATTGATATGTTGCTTCGGATTTTCGTCACACATGGTTTTCAGCACGAGAAAAAAACACCTTCGTTTCAAACCACTACTACACAAATACTATAATGGGTGACGAAAAGGTGTTTTGGTACATGAATAGAGAAGAATTCCAGACACCCAACGCACTACCTGTTTTTTCCCCACCCCTCTAGGGCTCCCTCTAGAGGCGCAGTTTCGTTATTTAATAGCTGAACCTCAGAATCACCCTCTAAATATTCACATGACATTTAGGAACACCCTGTATAATAAAATTTTTGTTGATAAGATCATTGACGAATATTATATGCAGAAGTGGCCTCAATTTAAACCCCTGTGTTACACCAAATTGGCAGTGTTGTCTGTGCGATGTATGATTATGAATTTCAACATTGCACATTCAATAGCTCACAAATATTTGATCTGAGTTCCTCTATGCAAGCCATCAAACATCATTCAGAATTTCAGCTTATAAAACAATGAATAGTTAAGTAGCAAATTTACTCACATGTTCATAAACAAACACCTTTGACAAAAAGAACCCCAGACAGGGATGCTGCGAAGTTTCGTGCAGGTTGATCAGAAACTCCCTCATAGCACTTATCAACATAGTTCTGTTGTAGTTGTGGTATCTCAACGGCGGTTCAAGTAGCAAGCGTTTATCAACATCATCGGATCTCGCTAGTCCTATAGCAGTTTTGGAATCAATCATATTGGCAAGCAGAGAGTAGTGCCACTGGTTCAGATTCCTTATTTTAACTAGATGTCTGACAGCTTTTACTCTGTCAGTTTTGTCTTTGCTACTGGCTAGTCTGACCAATCTCCTGGCGTATGCAAATTTCAGGGAATCCCAAGTATTTTTGAAAATGTTGGATTTGTTGTAGGGATAAAAGGATTGCAGATCAACGAACTCCTCGGGCATACTCCCTTCTTCGGGTATAACAGGTTTCAAATTCAATACTGAAGTGTCTACTGCAGTTTCTAATATTTCTCGAGTTTTCTTCACTTGGTAAAGAACCCATCCTGCACTAATTTATCAATTACAATTGGTTTTTGGAAGAATGAGCAATTTTACCTAGTTCCAACTATTGACAAACTTATATACTTCAATAAATTTGGATTGTTTGGATATCGCATTATTATTTACAATTTTTTAAATTTCCCCTGACACATTTGACAGCATATCTAACCTATATATTGCATCTTCGTAACCTAAAGCCCTCTTGGCCTTAGCTAGCATGGCTTCTTGGGCAAACTTGTGTATTTCCTGTCTCTAAAAATTTCTCTTTCAGTTCAACTTATCACTGAGCAGGTTTCCCATGAAATATGGGGCATACGGGCATATGAGTCATTCAACTTGTGTTTTTACCCAACCAAGACCTCGCCTATTCTATTTTAGTACAACTGAGGTAGAAAATAAATTAATAAAATGATTTATCCTACTGAAATGTAGGTGTTTGAATCTGGAAAATTACAATCTGATAGAGACTATCATTTTTATTCATTATAAAGTTTGTTATTCTTTCGTGAACTGATAATCAATCGTCTATTACGTTATTGTTGCCTCAAACATCATGAGACATATTAATCAATATACCAGAAATATTTTTCCATTGCCCTACAACGAGAAAAGGTCAACAATATATGGAACCATTACTAAAGGTCAATTTATGACCCAAATCTTCACGTTGTTATATATGGAAAATTCCAATAGTCTTTGATTTTTCCATCAGTCGAATGATGTTGGTGAAAGTAAATGTAACCCTAAGCTTTAACTCAATAATGAATATTGACGAACTCCGTTTTTTTCTGAGGTGGAGATATGTTAGATTGCTCCTCAATAACGATCTGACCTGGTTAAGGTCATTGCAGAGGCGAGTGATGTCACACGTATGACTTAAAAAAAACTGGGAATGATTCTTTTTCATAAAAATTTCCGATTTTCTAGGGGTTTCACAATAACAACACTCAACATCATTCAGAGACATTTTTTTTTTGAAATCGAGTTCAAATTATTGAGGTCGTACAATTTACATACTTGCTAAAAGCAATCAGCCGTTTAGAGACATTAATACTTTTAAATTGCTAGAACGTGAAAATTGATTTCTGCCATTTTGTGATACACAAGAACATTCACTTTACGGATTGCATAATATCACGCCAAAAACTTCCATAAAGAACAATAAAGAACTAACACCAAAAAAACCCAAATACCTAACAGTTTTCCGCCAAATTAAGCAACACATTATATTCTTATCTCATCCATTGATATCCAAATTACGTGTCATTTTTATCATTGCTTAGCAATTTAGTATAAAGACTAATAAAGTAAAATTGCTATTATGAATTTTCAAGTTGAGACCTGAAGTGTTTTTTTTTAATCATGCAGATTGTGCTTTTCGAAAAAATTTTGTTGACATAGGTCCTCAAAGATCAGCATCAATGAGGGCACCTTGATCTTGATGAACTAGACGTTCATGTCATATTTTAAGTGTATCCATATCTGCCAACTGAATTTCTGTATTGATTTCAGACATTTCTGATGCGTGGAAAATTAAGGCCATGGATTTTTGAGCTTGGAGTGTTTATACAACAAAGTGATATTAAATGGGACAGCAGGAATTGACAGCTTGAGGCAGTTGCTCAAGGGGTCGATACTGAACAAGCTAACCGCAAGTATACGCCAATGTATGGGTGCCTCAAGATCGTTGGAGATCTCTTTATCAAAGCACCTGATCTTCGCTCTCTTCAGGTCAGTCATAACCTTCAGAGTCATAACCTTCAAATACTTCTTCTTGTCGTTCTTTTTCTTGGTCTTCCTCTTCTTCTTGATCTTCTTCTTCTTCATCCTGGGTGTAGGTAAACTGCGCCAAGAGTGATGTATCGCATGTTTCCTTGTTGGTATCAAATGAATCCTCCACTATTCGTGATTCAGCATTAGAACATGACTGGCCTTGACAATGTGTACATGCCAGATAACACAACAGTCCAAATTTTTTACAACCATATTTAACGCTGCATTCCTTCTTACAGTTGCAAAAAATTGTGCTCAGCAGTTTTTCTGGCGCAGGTGGGAGTAAAGTCTGAATAGGTTCTAATGCATTGTCGACCAACTTCCAACCCCAGTCTTTTGGGTCTAGCTGATAACCAAGCCACACTTGAACTTGGTAATATACCCGAAAAAGATGTTGATGAGCAGCAACTCAGGTTGGAGAAAGACAAGCTAATTGCACCTGTTTCTTATTTTTAGTGTTTTTTACGAAACATGCATATCGATACTTATCTAAGCAGGTGGTTTTTTTCGGAGCTTTGTACATAGAAAGAAGAAACTGAATCCAGTTGGTGATAATTTCTTGTTGAGTCGAATTACTTTTTTTGAAAACTTCAGCACATTGAACTAAATCTTGTTTTTCAAACATTTTAAAGACTGTTGCTTTACCCCTCCTGTAAAATGCAGACGTCGTATCACAGCCAGTTATTGCCTGTAAAAATAGTACATGATTTTGACTCTTTGTAAAAGTAGATGAACTTTTTGACGAATATATTTCGGTTTGACTTTGAGCTTTTCCTGGCTTTAGAAAAAAAAATAGTTTTTTCAGGTGGAGTTCGAGCAGTAAGAAGTACGAGTAAGTCTACATCTTCACCAACAACAATAGTTGTATTTGTCAAATTAAATTGCTCTATAGCTGTTTCAATAATCAGTACGTCGGCATCGTTATTAGCCTGTTTAACCAATATATATTCGCCAATAAACTTATCCTTCAACATTGAAATGAACCGAGATTTGTTGTGAGTATTTGCAAGAAATTTCTGTTAACTGGTGGGCACTGTCATAAGTTCATCCCTAGACACGCACACAATTGAACAGAGACAGATGTTGTCTCAAGGTACAAGGCTAGCGTACAAATTAAGGGACTGGATTTCATTCAACCTGATATTCTTATATTTATACTTATGTATACCAATAAAAAAATATTTTTACTTGAATTACAACTTTAGAGATGTATATACGTGGCATACTTATGTATATAATGACGAATACAACTTTTACAACTTTTTGAGTCGTATCTCAGAAACGGTAGCTCTAAGAAAAAAAAGTATTGATACTTTTTTTATAGAGAATTTTATGATCTACAATTTTTACTTGAGGTTATTTTATGATAAAACTTACCGTTTTCCTGAAAATCGTGAAAAACCAATTTTTTTCGAGATTTTTGACCTTTGACCTCGAATAAATTTTTTTCCAGGCATCGCAATCATTCGGAATTTGAAAATTTTATTTTCAACTATGTTTTGAACAATCACACGCATTTGCAGCTTGTAGTAAATTTATGTACTTTCAATCTTATTTTTTAGTCTAATTTGACCGGACTATTATTGCTTTCGCCGCTTTTTCAGTTAGTACTAACTTTCAAAAGGAAGCTCTTGAAATTCCTGTAGAGATGCATCATTTTATGGGTCTTTATTATTATTTACTATATATCTAGATCTCAGCCAACGATAAGTTGACGTTCTCCCCAGGTAGGTATGCTTCAATTCTCTCGTTAGCCGCATCCAAAAAATATCACATGAAGACTCACGTTGAATATCTGGAAAGAAAGATGAATTTTCCACACCAGAACAAAATATGGCCTCTTGATGTGCGTTTCGCTGAAGAAGTTAACATCATGAGGGGTTGACTCAAACTAAATATTGCAACTAAGTTAGAGCTTTTCATATATTTGGGTGAACCAACACATTCCCTGTTAGTTATTGTGTGGCTTTGTTATTCTGTTTCATTTCCTAATTTGTGTGTTGATGACTCAACCGGGGTAAGGAATACGCATAATCAATGATGGTGTACTGAATTTTTAAAATTTGGGTGTTCCACAGTATTTCACCCACTATCGCCTCGTTTCGAAAACAATTCATTACTTGCTTTGTCATTACTCATATTGAACTCTTATCTTTATGTCACTTCTATTACTACTCTCTCAAATTACTAGAACAATTACGCTACATTTCTATCATTTTTATAATTTATGACTGTCTTGGCACAAGGGTAAAATTTATATGCTAATTATCTACCTATATCAGAATTTTTATATCTTCCGTTGATTATAATAAATGAAAGAATATTTTATGAATGAAATGAGTTGCAAAAAATTATTACACTACATCATAGAAATCCAATCGGATTTTAAAGATATTGATTCAATCTACAGTGGACTGCTTTTGCAGTGATTTTAATTGATTATGATTATATATTGCATCTAAAAACACTCTTTCGGGTCAGCGGTTTTTTTGTTACACATAACTTTCAACATCGAACTTGGCGATGATAAATGAAATAATTTTCGAAATCGATAGAGTTTATGGACGGTAGCAACTACCCGCAAAGGGCAAAGTTTAAAAATTGAACTCCTCGGAACGGAAATTGAGGTTTTTTCCGTTTTTTGAGTCAATGGGGAAATCTAGTTTTTGTCGGAAAGCCCTGTATATTATCAATTTTAGTCTGAGATGCACAATGGCGTGACTGAATTGTTTAATTTATTTTGGGGTATTGGCAGTACCATAATCAAATCACAATCGAGGTCATGTTTGTAATTAGGTGACTATTTATTGATATTTCACAGACAATATTTAAATTGAAAATGGAAAATATTTGGATATACGTTTTGTTTATTTTTATAAATAATTTTGTACGTATACAATTCGCATCCTATGTAGTTTGATTTCTTGCGTTATACTGTGAAGTGCATGGTCTTTTTGGAATATTTGCATTTCTGTATTCGAAAGGTAAGAGACAGTACTAAAAAATTTTCAAAATAACTTCCTGAAACGGGAATGATGAGTTATTTCGGCTCTAATGATTTTCATGGTCTTACAAAATCAATTACAATATTTCTAGGTTAGATTCATTGGGTTATTGGTAATTATTAAATATTAATCATTCTAGGAAATAACTCTTATTCGATTCATACAAATCAACGCAAAACATCGAAAACCAATGTTGAAAAATTCTTGTATCATTCTTGAAAATCCACGCAATTCGAAAAAAAAACCTCTCGAGACCAAGATGGATATATTTTAAACATCTGTCGGAATATTTTTTCCGTTAACCAACTAACCCCTACGATAAACCTCAAAAGTTGTTGGCAAACAACATACTTTCCGAAAAATAAAAATACCCCGTAAAACTATTTCAAAC